GGGCGCTATCTGCGGCTCCGTTTCCTCCCCTACACCGCAGTCCACACCTCGCCGATGTTAACTCAGGTCTATCCTAATCTTGGCCCCTTCCTGTTCTCTCTGGGCCTTCCTTCTCCGTGCCCCACTTGGGCTTCTCCGTAGTGCGACCCCCCCCCCTTCTGGGGCTCGCCGGGCCCCACTTAGGCTTCTCAATAGTGCTGCCCCCTTTCTGGGGCTTGCTGCGCCCACACTAGGGCTACTCAAACGCCCCTCTCTGCGGCTGGGGTCTATGCACCCTGTGTGCTGCGCCCGCTGGTGCTGGGGTCCTCACACTCTGCTGTGAGGCCTCCTCCATCCCCTTATAGCCTCACCCAAACCACTGGTTTAACAACAACAAAGCAAAACACACAAGCCCCTAGGCTATAACATAACTTAGAGCTACTCGGCTAAAACAACATGGCTCAACTCAGGTCAAGCTATACCTGCAGTTCGGCTTCTCCTCGCATCCTGCCTTGGAGAGCTTCTGGCTGCTGGCAGGGAACTGCCCCAGGCCTCAGCTCCGGGGCTTTATAAGGGCCAGGCCCTGCCCCTTCTGGTCAGCTGACCTGCTTTGGTCGTCCTGGCAACCCACAGCTGTGCTCCTTAGTCATTGCTAGGGCTCCTTCCCTAGCAGTTTTCCCCTCTTCAGGCACAGGGCACCTCAGTGCTCTGTGACACCTCCTCATCAGTGTCAGAAGATATTCAGAGCTCAGAACACTTACAGACACTTTGAGAGGAGAGAGGGTAGATGATTAATGGGACCGTATTATGGTCTCTGATTCACCTTGGCTACCCAAATTATCGCTAGCTGTATCTTTTCCCAACCAAGAGAGATCATGCTCTGCCTGACAGACATTGGAGGTCCTGTTCCAGTTTCTACCCACTCCTCCGTAGATGATATGGTTTCCTTAGGCATCCCTAATGAGATGCCTTTCAGAGGTACCCATTCTTCATATATACACTGGAGAAGTTAAGAAACCAGCATGCAAACTGGTGGATGTTCTCCACTGAATTCTGATGGGGGAAAGTGGCTTTTTATTTTAATAAGTCACTAAGGCTGCCCTGATTGTCCCATCCTAGTTCTGCTTCTGCCCTACATACTATAAGCTTACCCTCGGTTTCCTAGTTAAGTTTCAGATAAGAAAATGTCAATCTTATTCTGATAGTCTTGGCATGGCCAGTTCTGGTTCCAGGATCCTTGTCTCATTCAGTCAAATTCTTACCCTTCTCTTTCAACTGCCATTACTTAAAATAAGGAATATTTCTTTCAGTTGAAACAGGGTATACCAAAAATAAATATTTTGGATACAGAAATTTCAGTTTTAAGCACTTTAAGAAAGTTACACTTGTTCCTTTATTAGATATAATTTCATATCAAGTATTTGTTCCTGTTTTACTTTGTGAGTATATAGTTCACAAAATTTAAATAAAGCTGTTAGCCTCTAACATTATTATTTTAGTCATAAGCATTTCATCAGCTGAGAAGAAAAATTAAATTGATAGTAATTTTTTTTAAACTAGCAAGTCAGGCTATTTGATAGGACTTGCTAAATAGTGTTTTACATGAGCAAGTCACAAAACAAATTACGTTTTGCATTATGCAGATTCTGTATGCATTTTAATCATAAAATAAAGTCCTGCTATAAATCAGTGTGTGATTTACAGTTGTCATCTTTTCTTTTATTTCTTTCTTTAGGAATGAGGATGTTGAAGAACCTGTTTATAGTGATGCTACCAGTAGTGAAGAGCCACAAATACATGTTGGATTTCTGTGAGTAATGACAGCATCTGATTCTTGTTAGATCCTGCCTACCAGGATTCTCATCCCTGACTCTTAACTTTCAGTACACCTTGTCAAAGAACAGCAGTAGCAGGTTGTGAAGTTAAGCCAGGCCTTTTGCTAGATGCTGTGGACTATCCCCTGCAGGGTGTATATGCTGCCTCTTTCTATCTTCCTATTAATTTTCCTTTTGACAATTATTTTTCCTGCTATGTTTCCAGTGTTATTTTGATCGTTTGCACTGCTTCTTTGAATAAAGAAGTGAGGGGGTGTCTGTGTTTGAAGTCATCACCTGTGCGATCACAGTAAAAGGTAGATGTTAGGCTTTCCCCCTCATGTTTCCCTTTTACTGTACAGGTCCAGCTGGTGAGTTGGGTGTGCCTGGGGTAGGTTACAGCATACAGTACTTTGGAGGTTCGAAGCAAGTACTGTTTGTTTGTTAAGCAGCTCAGAGAGCCTATCATAACTTTAAACAGGCACATAAAGCTGCCCAAAGTTTTGCTGTGGCCTCTCTCCAGTCCTCAGAAAGTGTTTCCCCATGGTTTGCAAGTTCTCTTCTGCATCCTGATGAGCACAACACAGAATCTCATTTTGTGACTATGTGTCAACATTTTTGTTCAGTTTTCAAATTCATGATGATACAAAAGAAATTAATGTCTTGTACGGTTATGAATCCTACTCAAGAGTGTAGACCCAAGTAAACTGTAGATGATGTCCCATGTAAAGTAAGGAATATGTTTTCTGAAGTCAGCCCTACACAGATCTTGTACCAGTTAAACTACCAATATTTCAGTTTCAAAATAATTATATTGGCTACTGTGGACAAAGTTATAGTATCATAAATGTGCCTTATGTCAGTACAACTTATTCCCCTTCCTTTATGAAAATAGCTTAAAGTATGCCTGTTAATTCAAGTTCATCTGCATTTATTGCTTGAATTTCATAGATAATGTTGCCGGGATATATTTGGTAGTCATGTTGGTCTGAGACGAAAAGAAATACAAAACTCTAAAACTCTTGGTTCAGAGATTATATTTATTAGACTAACTAAGAAATTGCAAAAAGTGATAAAGCTGCTGGGGTATATATTAGAGTCCTTTCAAAAGGAGAACTTTTCAAAAAGGGCAGCTATTATGTTCTAACTGCTACTGCAAACAAGCTGAGAGTACTGTGTCCAGTCCACATCTGAAATAGTGTCCAGCTTTGACCTCCTGCTGTGGTGAGGTGGGCAGAGCCGGCCCGCAGGCCCCAGCCGGCAGCGAGGGGAGGGGAGCTGCTTACCCCTGTGGGGTCCGGGGGAGCGGCCCTGCGTGGGAGGCCAAGCAGTGGCCACTGGCACTGCTGGCCCACGCCTATCTCCTCACCCACCCACTTCAAGCCAGCCCCGCTGCCCTGCCCCACAGCAAGGTGGCACCTGCTCCCCCGGCCAGTTTCCTCCCAGACACTGCAGCTCTCCGGGCCCAGCCGCCCACACATGAGGCCCGGGGGGGCCGCTTCTCATGTGCTGCTGGGGCGGGAGGAGCCCAGCCGGGTCTGCACTGGCCAACAGAAGCGGCACGTTGGCCCCTTTGGGAGGGGCGGAGCCTGCACTGGTCAGTCCCGAGTGGCACAAGGCTCCGCCGGCGCTTCTGCTGCCCGGTGCAGACCTGGCCTACCTCCTCCCATCCCCAGCAGCACATGGAAAGCCGGCTTCAGCTGCATGCTGCTTTTCCTGGCTGGTGCCGACCCGGTTCTGCCCAGGCGGGTCCTGCACCTCCTGCAGCACCATGTCAACTCGTCAACTAGCACCATGTCGACCCCTGCAACTTCATTGGTGTCAAAGGTCACGTGACATCACTTCCTGATACGATAACACTTCCTGTGATGTCTTTGAATATGGCTCCCTGGCCCACTGGGTGATAAAGTTCGTGATCCAGCCTCACATTCAAAAAGGTTGGACACCCCTGCTATACGGATTTCCCTCACATAAAGCAAACCCACTTTATAATGTAACAAATAGGGATAGGTTCCCAAGGTGCTGAGGGAGGGAGTGAGGCTGGGACTAGGGAAGGGGCGGGGGGAGGTGTGCCAAGCACCAGAAAGAGCCCAGTGCTCCCGGATCTGGACATGGGATGACAGCAGACTGCTGCTGCAGGCTGGAGCTGGTGGTGGCACTGGGCTGTTTCTGGTGCTTGATGCACTCACCCCGAATGCCAGGAAAAATCAGCTTGGCGCCACCCCTGGCCCCAGCCTGCAGTGGCAGCCTGCTGTCATCTGGTACGCAGATCCAAGGGTATGCATTTCTGGTGCAGCCCCAGGAATGGCACCCCTCCCCCCGCCCCTTCCCTAGTCCCAGCCTCATTCCTTCCTTCCCTCACCACCTGGGAACGTACCCCTATCTGTTAGGGCTGTCTGAAGCTTTGGTAGCCAATTCAGCGGCCGAACCTCCAAATCTGAATTGGCCGGATCAAATCGGAACAGTGATTCAAATCACCGAATTGAATCACTGTCCCTCAAATCACCTGAATCCGAATTGAATACTTGCTGCTTTGCACAGGCCCACTAGAGAGGTGGTAGATTCTCCATTGTTGGAGGTTTTTAAGGCCCAGCTAGACAAAGCCTTGGCTGGGACGATCTAGTTGGGGATGGTCTCACTTTGAGCAGGAGGTTGGACTAGATGCCCTTCTGAGGTCCCTTCCAACCCTAATTTTCTATTATTCTAATGATCCAAAACTGTTTAACATTACTTGATCCAGGGGCAAAAGTTGTAGTGGTTTTGCTATATTTGAATCATTGCCACCGCTAAAGGTGACTACAACATTGAAATGTTTCTATCAGAATGGCATAGGAATGAGTGTATGTGGCTGGAACAGTTCCTTTTGAAGCAGATCTAAATGCATTTAACTTGGAAATGTTTCAGTTGTTACATATGTCAGCATCGTCAGTCTAGCTGATGTAATTTTATAATGTACTTCCTGTTACTATGATAGCTGTAATCGTTTAGGATGCAAACTCAATTTAACCGTATGTACAGAAGAGTTCTGTTTGACTGCACACAGAGTACTTTATTCCTTGCTTTCCCTTCCTTTCCTCTTTCCTCCTTTCTATCCTTCCATCTACTATATTTACCTGATTCCAAGATTACTTCAAATTTAGAACAACTCCCCACCCCCAAAGAAACTGAATTCTGTATGTAGAAAATTTTAATTTGTTACAGTTTTCTATGTATAGAATCTAAGTATTAGAGGTTGTCTGAAATTCATCCCCAACACCACTGCAGTGGGGAAAGTAATACCAGGGAGGCAAGTAGCAGCAAGGGAGCAGGCAGCATGGGAGACAGGAAGTGGGAGAAGTCAAGCAGCCTGACCCCTTTGCTACCCCTGCTACCTGCTTCTCTGGTTCCTGGTTCCCACCCCCACGGTGCTGCACAACCTGGCATCTGCCCTTCACCCACTTGCTTCCCTGCTTGGCTCTGTCTGCTGCTTTCCCCTTCCCTGCCACCATTTACCCTCAATTGTGGCTCTAGTTCTGACCCTGTTTTGACTTGGGTCATGGAGCACATGGTAATACTGGCCCCCAAGGGTAGTGACAGAAGCATGTCTGGCATTGGGATCAGGTACGGGGCCACACCTACTGTGTCCCCTGGGCTGGAGCCAAGACAAGGCTCCAGCCCAGGACATTTTGGATGGTGGAAAAAACCTTGTCTTGGATTTGAGTAAATGCAGTAAATTTGTCCAGCTAAATAATGAAGTGTGGGTAACTTAATTGAGCAATTTATTTTCCAGGCATGATAGTGAAAGTGAGTGTCTTCTAGTCCATGTGTTACAGCTGAAGAATTTTACTGGTCTTGTTGTGAAAGAACGCTGCAAAATGTAAGCTCATATTGCACCAGAAGCATGATTATTGCTTATTTTTTGCCTGTTCCTAAATATGTAATTAATATAGCCAGGTGCTTTTAATGTAAAATGAGACAGCGTTTTGGAAGGTATGCAAAACATCTTCATTGCTCTTAGGTCTGTCTTGTTGTAATAATGTTTCTGAATGTGAAGAAGTAACTGTTATGGAAACCTCTTTATTTATCATGGCAACATTCTACTTATGCAAGGACATAGTGTTGGGAGCTCTAATAATCCATGTCTAGTTCCATCATCTTCATCAGAAATGAGAACAAATTCATAACTACTTTTCTGTTACCCTCCCGTACCCCTCCCTTCTCCCAAATACCCAGTCTTACAGTAGAAGATATTTATTGTAGTTGTTACCCCTAAAATATAACTTCTCTCCAGCATTACATTATGTGAAGAGCTACAAGATAAAAGTCTTGTAGTTTTCACAACTTTTTAAATGTACCATCGTAATAATAATTGAATAATATAGCTATATTCCTTTTGGTTGATACCCAGAAAAATAGTTTATTTCTCTGGGTTTTGTGACTGCAGATCCTGTTTGAAATAAAACCCAGATTGTTAAATTGATTTCAACAAAGAAATTAGCTGAGTGTCAGTATGAAAAATTTATGAAAATTCATCACTTTGTTGTAAACTATTTTTTTCCCAGTACAGTTGTTAAATTAGCATAAACCCTACTGAGTGAGAGTTTTTTCTGATAACTAGATTTGTTTTCTACCCACTGGAGGTCCAGTTAAAAATAATTTAAATGGGTTTGTGTCCTAAAGCTACACAAATGCATGTGTGGTCACAGAGTAACAGGGCTATGGGGTGCTCTCCACCCAGTGCTGCCGCCACCCGGCTCAGGTGCAGCCCTAGCTTACCCCCCTGCGCTGAGACAAGCCCAGCATCACCCCGAGCGGCAGCGGCAACCCGGCATCGCCCCACTCACAGATCTGGGAGGCGCACACCCTCCGTGCCTCCCCCAGGGGTGCACACAGTGAAGGGGGCTGCCCCCCAGTGAGCTACTCACAGCTCTGTCCCATGCACTGACCCAACTGGGCAGTGTCTGCCTCTGCCCCAGCACTGCTCCCTAACTGCAGAGGCCTTGATCTGCCTTCTTCCCTCCCACGCCCCTTCCCTCCCCTCCCCTCCTCCCTCCCCCTTACCAGCCAGACGCTGCTAACCAAGGTGCCGGGCTGCATATCGGGTAGATATTGGCCAGTATGGCTGGTTAATAATCAGCCATCGGTATCAGCCCAAGGAAACTTTATCGGTGCACCCCTGTTTCTTGTTATTGTAGAGTTTGAGTTTTAGCAACATTTAAAAAAAGCAAACCCCAAAATAAAAACCGTGACCCTGAGTTTATTTGTTTCATTTGCTGTTCCTAGTCATGTTAGAGTTTACTTGCCACCGCTGGAGTCAGGCACACCAACTACGTACTGCTCCAGAGTTTTAGAATTCCAGTCTCCGTTAATTTTTAATGAAGTTTTCCGAATCCCTGTGCCCTCAAGCGTGTTGAAATTAAAATCGCTGCAATTGTATATCTGTTCAGTTGACCATCAGCAACAAGAAGAATTGTTGGTAAGTAGTTCCATTTTGCCTGAAGTACAGTCTTGGAATGCTTTGTTAAATGTTCCTTAGCAAAACTACTGAATTTTATCACATAACACACACGCACCTTTTCCCCAAAAAGCAGCTACTGGAAATTGGACTGTTCGCTGTATGCAGGAAATAGAGTAAAATCAGTTTCTGCCACTCCAGGTGAAACTGCAAGTAAAATATGTAGTGATCCACAGGGAGCAGAACGATGTGTAGGTTTGGCTCTCTAGCTGCTGCTACTCACTCACTACAGAAAAAGATTATTATTATTATTTTTTATCATTATGCCTTTAAAAGCAAGCTGTGTATGTGAAAAAATGTGGCATATTCCATGTAGCTGAAAGCAGTGTTTCTTAACCTGTGGGTTCATGACCCAAAAGTGGGTCTCAAGAAGATTTTAAAGAGTTGCGGGGCGGTCTAAGAGAAACACTGCAAGGCTGCATGGAGCCAGCACACAGTGTGGGGGTGTGGTGAGGACAGCCAGGCAGCATAAAGCATTGGCAGAGAGATGGAGGGGGCCGGATGCAGCAGCTGGAGGGGAAAGAGGGAGGGGGCGGGATGCAGCAGGTGGAGGGGGGAGAGAGAGAGAGAGAGAGAGAGAGAGAGACTCTGTGGGTCAGGAACTGAGTGGTTCACAGCAAGCTGATGGTTATATTAATGGGTCCCAGTATGAAAGAGGTTGAGAACCACTAGTCTAAAGCAGCAGTGTCCAACTCACCCCATCCCCTTAGGGTGCATGTGGACTGTGGAGCTCCTCCCTGTCTTGGTCTGGACCCAGCAGCGATGGAGCAGGGAGTAGTGCAAGTGGCAGCACTGCATTGGCACAGTTGTTGCTCACCCCTGTACTGCAGAAGGTCCTTCCCAACATGGCCCCATAGCCTGGAGTTCTGCAGCAGTCTTTGTCCCCCGTTCTCCGCACCTCTTAATTCTCAGGCCTACCAGAAGCTGTGGAAGTTGGAGGAGACAGTCCCATGAGCCAGACACAGCCCATGGGCTGTATGGTTGACACTCCTTGTTTAAAGATGCGAGAGAGCTAGGAGCATAGGAGAAGTACAGAATCTTAAAATGATGGGTTCATAAAGGAACTTCTTTATGAATTAAATGCACTTGTGACTATTTTTCCTTGCAGGTAAGCATCCATTGCCTGTTTGATACTTGTCTAATAAATAGGGACCTACTTAAATCATGGCAAGGCAAAGTATTTTTCACAGCTCACTTGTGGAGCGCAGAGCTGATTTCACAGGCATTTTGTGGTGGCCCCAGTATCTCGGTCCTGATCAGTAGAGAGGTCTTGTCCATCAGTATGGATTGGCAGAGAGGCCCTGGCAGGGAAAGGAGGGATGAAGGGGCAGTTGCCATATTCTCTGCTGCCCTTCTCTGCTTTCCCTCCCAGCAGTAAGGACTGCTGGCTCCCATTGGGGAGTCAGCATTTTATTCTTATCAAATTTTTTTGTTGTTGATTTTGTGGAAAATCCCCAATTTCAGTTTCCACAAAACTGCGAATTAAGTAGGTCCCTACTAGTAAATAATACATTATTTTTTATCTGATAAGGACAGGATTTTCAAAACCAATTTTTCCTCTTCAGTTGTCTGTGAAAATCTCCATGCAAAATGTTTAAAGAAACAAGCTAAAAATTAAGTCATAGCATTGAAATCCTGGGGATTTCTACTCGTTTAGTTAACTTGATTTAAAATTTATTTGATTCAGTTGTGTAGTTTTCTCTGGTCCTGCCTAAGCTATAAAAATAAGGTTTTTTTTTTTTAACAAATATAACTAACACACAGTTTAACTACATTTCAGAAGTGTGTCAGGTTCTTGTAAGGGGATGTTTTCTAAGTATAGAGAGGACCAGAACAACTCAAGGATTTTCTGTGCTGGAAATTTTTGTCACTGAGTGTTCTTATATTGTGAAAGCAGCAAACCACTCCTGTTAGTGTGCACTAGTACACTGATATAGCTTATTCTGACTCAGAATCCAAAATGAGTTTTATCAGTATGGGTATGAACAAAGTGGGGACTTAACATAGAATAACCAATGCACAGTAACTGTTGATATGCCTACAGTTGTTCCGGGGTTGGTAAAAGCTAAACAAGATAGCTTACCCTTGGTTTGTACAGGGTACAGGCTTTCATTTGTTTGTAGTCAAGTAACTTGATTGTTTGCCTATGCCAGTGATTCTCAACCAAGGTGTCATGACAACATGGGGTGCCTCAAGGTCCTTTCAAGAGTGCCTCAGGATGCCACACAATATTAGCACTGTTAGGTTTGCAAAGATGATTCAAGAGAGAAACCCTGAGATTTCAAATAGAAATCCACAGCATAGAAAAACTGCTTTTTAAATTGTTCTGTAGTCAAAAAATGAAAACCGAAGAGCTGCCACAAAGTCTATCCAGGGGTGCCTTGGGTCTAAAAAAAGTCTGTACCCTAAGGTATAGATTTAGGCACCATTATGCTAGCTTAATTGTATCAACCATAGGGCTTTTACTGATACGTCTGCATAGGAAAAAATTCTACCCCTATTGAGTTATAATAGAATTTTACGTGTAGGCCTGGCCTGATACAGAAATCTCTTTTCCTGCAGTGGCTATAAAATGGCATTTGAAGGCATGTGAACAAATATTAACTAAAGTTTGCTAAGAACACCACACTTCTCTAATCTGCATGCAGGCTTATTTCTAGCTAAATATTACAGTTATCTTTCTCTGTTAAGTTGACTTGAAAAGTATGTAATGGAAATACATTATGCTGTTTTAGTTGTTTGTTCCTCCTCTGTTTTTCTGTGCCCAGAGTGGTGACTTTCTGTAGTACAGTTCCAACATCCATTCCAGTAAAATAACAGCCTTCTGCATGCCTTTGATCCAAGTGTCAGGCTCACCTTTCTCTGCCATTTGTGAGGGTGGCTTTCTCTGCACTTAGACAGTGCTGGTTAATGATTCTCTCAATGAAAGTAGTCAAGACTAAGTGCAAAAAACATTTGTACAAATTAGGGGGGGAAGTATGAAATGCTCTATCAACTTGTCCAATACTTCATGTATGGAGAAAGGAAATAAAAATATTAAAGTTACTGAACCACTTCCACCTTACAGTTAGACTCAACTAATCATCTGTGTTTGTCAGAGCTGTCTCCTAGAAGAACGTTTGTGCCTAAACAGAAAAAACAAGTTAAAACTCTCCACCGTTGATGGAAGGGTGACACAATTTAGATAATGTGGCTTTGCTTCTCGCATTATGCCAAATTAAATATCAGTGGTGGAACAAGACAAGACACACTTTTTTGAACAGTCAACAAATATAAAAAAAATGATAGTGTCTTCCTTTTGGTACACAGTATATTGATACAATAATTATATATTCTATTACGTTTCTAATGTGACATTATTCTTTGTTCATTTCAAAAGCATTTGTCCATTGTCCCCTTTCCACCTGTTTAAACACTGCCCCAGGGAACTGACATGGTAGCAAAATAAAATAAGTATTTTACATATTTTCTGATGAACCCTTTTTTTAATTTGAATACAGTTTCTATATATGTTCATATCCTTCTGTATTGTTAAAGACATTGTACTTTATCATAATTGATCTTTTCAATAATAATAAAACTCCTCTTCCAGTTAAATCATATATCCAGCTGCTAGGTCACTAGTATAGGAGTAAAACCATTCCACTGAGAACTGAATGAGGGTATAAATTGTAGGTAGGTGAATTACAGGCTCTACAATTTTTAAAATTATGTACAGAGAAGGAAATGAAAGAAAACTGTATATGTTCAGTCACCTCAATTTTGTATCTAATGCAGTACTAGACAGACATGCCATATAGACCCACATAATAGAATAGGTCACTTTAGATTTTGATAGCTCTAAAAATGCTTTAGAAAAATGTTGTGTTGGTGCCCTATTTGGCTTTACAATGTATAACGAAAGCTGGAAAATTCTATTTCTTGGTACTTACCTTGCAATTCCAGTCTTCCAGCATATGTCCCTACCATCTTTCCACTTGCCTGGAGGAAGACAGTCTTGAGGCCTGGACAACTGTTAGAATTACATCAGAGAGACCTTTCAAATAAAACATGACCAATTGATTTTTTTTTTTATTCAATGGCTTGACATTTTTTTTTTTTACTTAATGACAATGTAGCTCATATATATATTACACACACACACACACACACACACACACACACGTGTGTGTGTGTGTGTGTGCGCGCGCAGAATTTGATATAAAATATCAAAAGCTGAAAGTGATAATAGCACCATCCCCAGTCAGTATCAAGGAACTCAGTTTTAGTAGTATGAATTAAAAAGTGCTGGAGACCCCTATTAGATGGGAAAGAAGTTAAGAAGAAAATAAGACATGTTTGTTTTTCTAACACTCTAAAGAAGCAGAGAAAAGCAAGAATCTCCTGCCACCCTCTGCCCACCACTTCTGCAAGCTATAAGTATTAGTTTTGACAAAGTATTTCAGTTAAATGGACTAGGTTTGAAAGTGTCTGTTTTTTGATTGGTTGACTTCAGTTGGTGTAATGTTTTACAGGGCATTGCTCAAATCAGCCTGGCTGATTATGAGAGTTCCAGGGAGATGCAGCTTCACTGGTACTCTGTCCAGATATTCACTGGTTCAGACCCACAAGGGGCAAAGGACAAAAGCCAGTGTGAAGAAAATACTCCGCAGTGTTCTGGAAATACAGCTACAGTGAAAACGGTATGGCAATGAAGGAATGTTTTTATTGTTTTTGTTTTTTAAATACTGTAAACAGATGCTCACTTTCTGTAAACTTGTTTGCTTCTGTTTCTGTGCGAAATTAACTGCAGAGACTCACATTTTAAGTTTGTTTTTTGTTCGAGTCTCTGACATTTGAATGAAAAATGTGTATCACCTATTATAGTGATCATTAATTTAAGTGGTTATTTGATTTACATGCCACTCTCCATAGAAAAGACTGAGGGTGGCTCACAGTAAAAAATAAATACATCACAAAACCAGATTTCCTAAACCAGGGGTGTCCATTTTCAGTGCATCTGGGGACCACCTCTCCTCATACCCTCTTCTCTTCTGCTGCCATATAAGTGTTTGGCCCCCTAGTGGGGTCCCCCTACTCCCCACCACGCAGGCAGCCCCAGCAGTGTACAGCCCCCGATTTCCAGGTCCCCTCTCCCACTGTGTGGCCGTGGAATAGGCAGCTGCAGAAGCCTGCAGTCTGCCAGTTGATCAGCTGTGTCCCAAACTGTACTCCAAGCAATACCCAAAACATAACTTGCCTCCATTATATGTGGGCAAATGATCTAAACAAAGCTGCATGGTTATATTGAGTCTTGAAGAAAGATTTTTTTTAACCCGGAAATTATTTAAATAAACTTATCATTTATATCAATGGTGCTCAACCTCCAGCCCTCAGGCCAGATTCAGCCCACAGAGGCATGTCATTCAGCCCATGGGGCTGCTCAACAGTCTGGAAATTTGATTGGCAGGGGAGCAGTGGCAGCATTAATTGCCTCTCCCCAGCCACCAAATTTCTGGATATGTGGAGAGCCCTGCAAGCCAAATGACATGGTCCTGCATGATTGATCACACCAGAGCATGGAATTCCTCAGCCTCTGTATCTGGCATGTGGGGCTAAGCCAGCACACCGGATAGCACCTGCAGCCTGACCCTGCACACCAGCCATGACTTGGACCAGGCCTCTGGCCTGATCCCATGTGTGGAATCTGGTCTGCAGGCTCAGTTAAGTTGATCCCCACTGATTCATACTACAGTAAAAAAATCAAAATGGGGTTGAGAACCACTGAATGCTTTGTAATACTGGAGGAATCATTGTGCTGTATCATACAATGAAGTTCAATGTGAGCATTTTGCAATATTGCATATTGCATTTTGCAGTAAAAGAAGTATAGTTACTTTTACCATAAATGTTGCTGCATTGACTTGGCTCTGAAAAAGAATGAATACTTTTTTGTGATTTGCTTTAGCTGAACAAACTAATAATCAAAAATCTGAAAATGTTTGTCTTGGAAATAAATCATAAGTCTTATGCAACTTTTCATAGCCCATTAAAAGTAAGGGTTTTGTATATGGCTTAATACATATGTTTGTGCTTAACTTCAGCTAATCCTGTTAAGTATATATTATTTAATTTTAAAAATAAATGTGAAACATTCATTCTTTTCTAATGAAAGTCTTACTCTTGTGGAAGTTTCAGTAACTGAGTAATCACTTAGTAACAAAATCATAATTTAGGACACGCACTTGTTCTGAGTCATATGGTGACAATTCTTTCACTCTGAATAATACACAAAAATTAAGTTTTAGTTAAAGCAGTGTCATTTGAAGTCTAGTTTTACTTTCAGGATGCAGTGACGGCCCTTTTAGCAAGGACCACAGCCCAGCTGGAAGCAGTGGAGAGAGAATTGGCAGAGGAGCGTGTGAAATTGGAGTACACAGAGGAAGAAATCCTAGAGATGGAAAGAAAGGAAGATCAGGCAGAAGCTATATCAGAGAGGTAAAAATATTAGTTAAAATATGGAGCGCACATAATTTGTAAGGTCTTGGCTGAAGCTTTTGGCTATTTTCTCAAACATGACTACAAAAAAAGGGAGTTCTGTGCTTCCTGTTTGTATTCAACTCTGTTCTCCTGTTTTATCATTGCAGGTGCATATATTTAATTTGGTTCATCTCCTGTTTAGATAACAGTCTACCTCCTAGGAAAAGCTAGATTGCTACAAAGTAAACTTTATCTTGACAGTGAAATCTTTTTTTCCCCTGCCCTCTCTATACACATAGGGGGTAAACTGTATAACATTGTTCTTTGGTAGTTAGAATTATAGAAAACTAGGGTTGGAAGGAACCTCAGAAAGTCATCTAGTCCAGCCCCCTGTTCAAAACAAGACCATCCCCGACTAGATCATTCCAGTCATAGATTTCACGGACATTAGGGCTGAAAGGGACCTGAAGATCATTGAGTCCAGCCCCCTGCCCCAGGGGCAGGAAGTCAGCTTGAGGCACAGGATCCCAGCAAGATAAACATCCAGTTGACTGTTAAAGGAGTCCAGAGTAGGTGCTTGCAGGGCTTTCTCAATCCGGGTCTTAAAAACTTCCAAGAAAGGAGATTCCATCACCTCTCTTGGTAACCCATTTCAGTGTTTCACCTACCTCCTTGTGTGAGAGAGTTTTTCCTAGTCTCCAGCCTAAACTTTCCTTCCTGCAACCTGACACCATTGCTCCTTGTTCTGTCATCTGCCCAGGACACTTGAGAAATAGACAGGTCCACACAGGTCTGGTTCTGAAGACTCACAGCTCAAAAAGTGGTAAGATTTTGTTGCCAGGGCCTGAGTTGAGGGCAAAATTTATGCTTTTTACTTGGGGAACAGGAGAATGACAAGATAATGGTAGAACAAAGTCAAAGTGCATGTAATTGTCCTTTAATTAGAGGGTGTCTGACACCCAAATGACCTGAGCAGTTACTAAAGATGAGCAATTTTAGAAATAGACATAGTAGCATGTATTAGCAGAACCTAGTTTACTAACAAGGAAGAACTTGCCAGGTGTTCAGCTGCAGCAATTTTTGGACCCCATTACATGTTTATGTTAAAATGCAAACACATAGGATCATGCAGTGAGGCCCCAAGGCTTTTCAGTCGTTAGCATTTCAAACTAGAGCATTTATTGATTTTGAGTTTTCAGTAATCTGAACTATGGTACCCATTTTTGTATACTTAACCATAGAAGAATTCAACACAAAGATGTTGTGTTCTCAAGATACTTTGAAAAGTGATGAGACTGGCGATTCCTATTCCTCTGTATTGATTGATAAGATGCCTTTAGCAATTATATTCAAGAATGGAGCACCATTTTGCCATCCCCAGCCTTTGAAAGAAAGCTTTATCAGCAGTTTGACTTGGCTTTTCAAACCGTGATACTTTGACTTTCTCTTTTTCTTTGTAATTGAGGACCAGAGTAGATAAGTCATATAAGTTCCAGGTTGTCCATTTTTTAAATTTGTTATAACACTGCTGGAATTCCTGTAGGAAACCAGGCATGTAGTTGGTCTGTGAGATAAGACCCATGGAATAAGTTTGTTTAGTTACTGATTCTTACAAAGATACAACTTTAACAGTTTCACCAAAGACGAACATTACTATTTTTCCTTCAGAAAGTTAGGTGGGCCACCTCCAAGTGGCTTAGGATATAGTGTCAGTATCATGATATTAAATTATCTGTACTATAAGTCTAACTAACATGGCTGTCCCCTGTTAGTAAGAAAGGGGGCAGGTTCCACAAAAGTGGACTCAGCCATTAAAAACAAAAATGTAATTTGCTTTCTATGTTTCTTGGCACCAGTAGCAGCATTCAACAGGACGAAAAACAGCAAGATGTCATGCTGCCCTGTCAGTGTGGAAAACCCACATAATTTTGATATTGATTATGACATCAGAAAATACCCTTTTATATGGCAAAGCAAATCATACCTTTTTTATCCACATTCTTCTGTCTTGTAGTTATGCAACACCCCCTTCTTCTATTATCATGAGAGACATTTAGAAAAAAGAGTAAGGTATTGGCTACTGAATACCTTAATTAGTTAATCTTATTCTTTTCTCTTTTGTAGTCAAAATATACTAATACAATTTTTTACTTGTGTGATAATTCTACTTCATATGATACTTATTCTTGAATACTGATAGATCATTGCAGTACTTTATTAGAGGTATTTTATTCTGTTTTGCTCCAAAACCATGAAGCGACTTTATGAGAAAATTAGAAAAGTTGATTCTGCCTTGGAAAAATTTAACTTTGGCTGCGTATCTCAGAGATCCATCTAGGTTAAGACTTCATTCAGAAAATGTGCATCTGATCTGTAGAAATAAAATCTTACAAATGATAAAATCTTGATTGGAAACAGAAATGAATGAAGGCATGTGATTTCTTGCAATTCCAATACAAATCTACAAGTGTCTCAAAATATTGTATCTTTAGGAGTTGGCAAGCAGAATCTGTTGACAGTGGATGTAGTAATTGCACGCAGACCAGTCCTCCCTATCCAGAGGCATGTTGTGGTGACTCACTGCATGGACATACATTTCCAGCTCAAGCAGGCCAGTACAATTCTGGAAAAGTGCAGCCCCCACCTATAAAGGTAAGTAAAGAAGATATTGCCGAAAAGCCTTCTGCACATAAGACTCGCTGTATGTTTCACCGTGATGTGCCCAAGTGGCACTTTTGTAGCCACGTAAGTGTAATTTTTGGCACTGATGCACAGCTTGTCCTGCACTTCCTTTCTTAGCATGCTGAGAAGGCTGTATGCTGGCTGCAGAGGCTCTAGGGCAGAATAGAATTGCCCAAGCACTTGCATAATGTCAGACAAGTTCCAAAGCTTTAGTCACAGAAGCCACAACTAACAAGAGTTTAATCATGAAAGAGAAGTGGGAGAAGGACCTTTCTACCTTTTATCCATGTAGCTTAGTGGCCAAAGAAAGAGCCACGTTCTAGGGTCCCCTTCACCCAGAGGTAGTTTAAATTTACATCTATCTCCCAACAAAGTTCTTTAACCAGCAAGCTAGAGCATGCTCCAGCCCTCCTCTTGAAACTGGCCAACTGGGCAGCCAGATGGGGAAAATATGTGGGGCTGGGAAGAAAAAACAGTTAGAGGGAGGGCAGCTCAGTGAGATGGATGCTGCCCTGCCCTATTGTGCTAGGGCTGGAAACAGAATACAATGTGTGCTTTAAGCATGGAAAAGTGAAATAAATTTATCCCATAGTGCAGTGGTTTTGAAACTGACTTAGAATCATAGAAAATTAGGGTTGGAAGGGAATTCAGGAGGTCATCTAGTCCAATCTGCTCAAAGCAGGACCATCTCCAACTAGATCATCCCAGCCAAAGCTTTGTCTAGCCGGGTTTTGAAACCCCCCAAGAAAGGAGCTTCCACCACCTCTCTGGGTAACCTGTTCCAGTGTTTTACTACCCTCCAAGTGAGAAAATTCTTCCTAATCTCTAACCTAAATTTTCCTTGCTGCAACTTGAGACCATTGCTCCTTGTTCTGTCATCTGCCACCACTGAGAACAGTCTAGCTCCTTCCTCTTTTGAACACCCCTTTAGGTAGTTGAAGGCTGCTATTAAATCCCCTGTCAGTCTTCTCTTCTGTAAATTAAATAAGTCCAGTTCCCTCAGCCTGTCCTCATAAGCCATGTCCCTCCACCCCCTCACCATTTTTGTTATCATCCCCTGGACTCTCTCCCATTTGTCCACATCCTTTCTATAGTTGCGCCAGGGGGGGACACTGAACACAGTACTCTGGATGTGGCCTCACCAATGCTGAACAGAGAGGAATAATCACTTCCCTTAACCTTTTGGCCAATACCTACCCACACCTACCAGTGCAGCCCAGGATGTTATTAGCCTTCTTGGCAACAAGGGCACACTGCTGGCTCAAATTCAGCTTATTGTCCACTGTAACCCCCAGGTCCTTTTCTGCAGAGCTGCTGCCTAGCCAATCAGCCCCCAGTCCATACTGATGAATGTGATTATTCCATTGTAAATGCAAGACTTTGCACTTGTCCAGTGAACTCTGCGGTTTCTCCATAGGTCACCAGGGGTTCTACAAAGAGACTGGGGGTAATGGCAGAGTAGGCTGGGAGGTGATGCGCTGCCATTGCTGGGCCAGTCTCTTGGCTCCATGTCAGTCTTTAGGGCAGAGGTGGGCAAAATATGGCCTATGGGCTGGATTTGGCCTGCCAGGCCATTCTATCCTGCCTTCAGGGCGACTCCAAAAAACAATTATTACCGGCCTGCAGCTGCCCCTCTGAAAGTTGGTGGGAGGCAGGCTTTCAGAGATCGTGCGCCATTGGACTGGGCAGGTCTGTGATTCCACCTCCTTGGGGCTCCTGGCACTCCAAATGCGATGTCTCCTAACTGGACGGCTGGTGAGTAGGGATGGGACCTCCTGCCCACAGTGGCGGGGAGGGGCATGGTGTTTGTGGGTGGGTGTGGGCCCCCTGCCATGATGTGCAGCCCCCGTCACCAGCAGCAGCAGCAGGTGGTGGGTCCTCAGGGTGCTTCTGGCCCACTACAGGCAAAGCCCCCTGGCAGCGCACACTCTGGCTGAATCCTGGGAAGTGCATGTGTCATTACATGCTGTTGCATGCCTTCAAACCAGACCAAGCTGACTCCATGCCAGCATACGGTGCTTCTGGCACTGGAGGCGGGAGCTGTGCACCATCAGGCTGGGCCAGGCTGGTTCTGTGCCTCCACATGGGGCTTTCAGTATTCCAGGGGGGAGCCGCACATAGTGGCATGGAGCCTGCCTGACCTGATGGTGCGCGACTCCCTGTGGCTCCTGGTCCATGCAGCATCAGGCTGGGCAGGCTCCATGGCTCCACATGTGGCTCCCTGCTGGAGGGCTGGAAGCCCCACATGGAGGCACGGATCTGGCCGAGCCCGATGGCATGTGGCTCCTGCCTGTAGTGCTGGGAGACCCACATGCTGGCATGGAGCCAGCCTGGTTTGGTTTGAAAATGCGTGCCAGTGGGGCTGGGCTGGGTGGGCTCTGTGCCACCACATGCTCCGGCTGAATCCTGGGAGGTGCAACGCACTGGTGGGTGGCTCTGCCTGTAGCAGGCCAGGAGTGTCCCAAGGGTCTGCTACCTGCTGCTGGTCCTGCTGCCACCGTCAGCGTGGTCTCTGCGCCATGGAAGGGACAGGGGACTGTGTGGCGGGGGGCCAAAACCCACCCCCCCCCTGTCACAGCCCCCTCCAAAAGCCCCCCACATACACATAATTTACAAAAGTAAGATTTTATTTTCAATTTTTATGCAATCATCTCTATATACGTTATACAAACAGATAAATCAGGACAAAAATAATTTTTGAAATAAAATTTAAATGTTATAGTAGATATTTGATTTTTAGTATATAATTTGGTTTTTTACAGGTTCTGAGATGGCAAACCCTGCTTCCAAAAGGGGTACTTCCAGGAGCAAGGGAGGTGGGGGGGACTTCTGGTGGCACAAGTCAGGGGTTAGGGGTAGGACTTCTGGTCTCAAGATTGCAATCAGAGGCTGGGCACATGTCAAGGGGCAGAGCTACACTTGTGGCCCTCGGCAGCTCACCCAAAGTCATAAGTGGCCCTCCAGCCAAAATAAGTAAAAGATACCACCCACCCTAAGAAATACTTGCCTGTCAAATAATTTTTGGACCATCATAGCTACAACATCAGTCTTATACTTACGTGACTTCAAGAAGTTTGAAAACGTGTTACAGTGCATTGCTAGTTCCAGTTGAATTTGCAATGTCACTTGATCTGAAAATGAAATCAGAAATGCACTGACAAGACTGACATATCAGTTGTACCCACAGTGCCTTGAAAATCATCGTGTGCGTTTTAAACTTGTTGTATTCAGTTACTGCTTTGATGAAACTGAATCTGTTCTGAGAGGACTCATTTTCTCAGTTCCACAGTGATAGATATTGGTTTCTGTATTTAAACTGTATGTGTGAATGTGCACTTGCAACTAGTAAGCGTGTTCTTCCAGTACTGTTGTGGATAAGGCCATCCTAAAATGCCAGTCCTTATAGAAATAACACATTCTTGGAAAAAAAATTAAGAGATAAAAGCTGAAACTTTAATTTGATTAATTTACCCACCCTATATTAAACTAAATGTAGCTGATTTTTCAGACCAACTTTGGCATGCTGAAACTATATAAGAAAAAGTTGTTTGTTGTTTTTTAATCAAGGAGTTGTGATAATGTAAGAGAAATTGTGTAATTTCAGGTTATGTAAATTACAGTGAAGTGAGTAGAGCTGCCTGTGTCTGCACATGTTGAGGATCTGGCTCTAAGGCTAAAAACAGACAAGCCCATATCCCACATTAAATACCTGTGCCTAATTCAAATTAAGACTTTGCCTCAAAATTGTGGCTAATTCAAGTTATTTGCTATTTAAGCCTAGTGTGTAAATGGCTGTTTTAATGTCATATCCCTGCCTAATCAGGGCCTCATTAAACTGGTTGTCTGTTTTTTAGCCTAAGATGTTGTTACCATAGGGTGCCTATAGATGTGCAGGGAAGCTGCTCCAATGCACTGTAATTACAGCACATCGGAGCAGACTTGATTAATCAAGTATGCTGGAGTATGCTCATTAGTGTGTCGAGCAGCCTCAGCATCTCATGTATCAGCATCCCTGCACTTCAGCGACAGTGGGGGCATTTTAACTAAAGCTTGTTTGATGAGTTTTAGTTAACACACCCCCACTGCCATTTTGAAGCATGGGGATGTTTGTACAAGAGAAGCTGTGAGTGCTTTAATTAGAGTGGCTCTCAGCACATGTAAAAATGCCTATAGTCTGTGAGACAGTAATGCAGGAGCATACATATTTATGTATGAGTAGTTGAGTACCCAACTCAAGGTGGCAGCCAGCCAATTTTGTGGGCAGATAAGAGGGCTGGCCAGCCTTTTCAAGGGCTTTTCATGGTAGGGGACCCCGACACCTCTGGCTGTGGGGACCCAGTGCCCCCACCCCCTGCTACTGATTGGTAGAGAGAGCTGTCCATACAGCCCCACTCCTAGTCACTGACTGGCCTAGGGCTGTCTGTCATGTGGCTCCATTCCACGCCACTGATTGGTGGAGAGGGGTTGGGTTGCATGGCAAGCAGCCCTCTCAGCTGGTCGGGGGTGGGGGGGGTGGTAGCCATTTTACCTGCTTGCCTTCATCCTGGCAGCCCTCTTTATGCCAGGCTGCACAGATAGGGGGACTGCTGGCATTTTATTATTAGTAAGCTTTTGGAGGGGGCGAGGAAGGGTTTGTTTTTTTTTTAACCTGTGAATTTCGTGATCACCTGATTTTAGAGTTTCTGCGCAATTGTGATTTGGGCATACTCATGAAAAATTTACGGCAGGGGTGGGAAACATGCAGCCTGCGGGTTGGATCCGGCCCACAGAGGGGCTTTGGCCCGCAACAGGTCCCTCAGTCCTGCCTGGCCCAGGCACTGTTCAGCCTGTGGCGTGTTCTGCTGCCCCTGGCTGCACAGTGGGGCTGGGGCGGCTCCGTGGCTGGACTCCATTTCTAGGCAGCCAAGGCGGCAGCAGCTCCTTCTGCAGCTCCACCCTGCACCCACTCTGGACTCACCCCGGTTGGAGTGGACCAGCTCTGGACCAGCCGGGACCTATGCTCATAGCCCCAACCCCAGCCTGCCCTGTGCCTGCTCCAGGCTGCCTGCCCCTTCTGCTTCCGCTGCTCAGTGTGAGTGGGCAGTCTGGAGCAGGTATGGGGTGGGCCAGAGTCGGGGCTGTGCGCATTGGTCCCAGCTTGTCCTCTCCAGCTGGGGCAAGTCCAGAGCAGGTGCTGGCCAGGCTGGGCCAGGGCTGCACACTCATCTGCTGCTGGGCACTGGTGGCAGTGGCAGGGAGGAGCCGCAGGGCATGAGGGGTCTAGGCTGTTTTGGGGTAGGGCTGACTGGTCCTCAACAACTCCCTGAAACTGCCTGTGTGGCCCGCAGGCCCAAATAATTGCCTGCCCCTGATCTAAGGAATGCCTATAGCATTTGTGTAGTACTCTTGTGAGTGCTGAGAAGTAGCACAGCTCTGCTTGCCTTCACCTAGTCCACATACATCAAACCCCAAAATGGTTGACAATGATGGGGGAGGGATGTTTCAGGGTAGCTTTACCTACTTCATTTTCAGATTTGCTACCTGCACAGTCAAAGGTGATAGATGGCTAACATCATATGCTGTGTGTGGTTGGT